GGGGGGGTGTGTTACATGACTGCTTAGTATATAAGAATATAAGCCTAGAATATGGTTTGGCTACAACAAATATTATAAACCCGCTGCTATTCTTTTTCTTGTTTCATTTCGTGTTTATAATTAAATTGAGCTGTTATTGGCAAATGTATCTCACATTTAACTCATTTGCTTGTCTAAAATATTGGCACAAGCATAATTGTAACAGGTTGGTATACCTTTTGGGGTTCTGTTAACATTTTAGTGTTTTTGATCTCTCTGCTTGAACAGTGGTGATGGTGGAAGATCAACTAGTGGAAGTGTCTTTGTTGGTGGTTTTGTATTGGGAGGACTAATTGTTGGAGCATTGGGTTGTTTATATGCACCTCAGGTATATCTGCAGAACCAACTTCGTCTATTTTTTTACATTTTCCTTTTCATGTGGCTGGGCAGAAGGTCTCTTTTCTTGTTTCTCTAGTTTATTACCATTTAAGTTTCATTCATGCGAATGTACTCCCATAAGCGTCTCATTACCCATATTGTGGAATATTGTCTGTTAAACTCGAAGAATATACTGTAGTTCACTTTGGTCAATCTAAAGTTGCATGATATTCCCTCATTATGTTCACATGCATCAAATTTCAATGTGATTTCTTCATTTTTTTTAATTGGCGCATCTGCAATGAATTGGCTCTCTTTGGCTTCTCATTTTGTCTTTCACTCTCTAAAGAATGATGTTGTTAACTTTCCAGATAAGCAGGACACTAGCTGCTGCAGCTGACAGCAAAGACTTAATGAGGAAACTTCCAAAATTTATGTATGATGAAGAAAAAGCTCTGGAGGTCAGGAAATTTTCCCGCTGTTACTATTTAGTGTGTGAGCCTGGGGAAGATTATTTCCTAACTCTTGATTGTGGAATAAGCTAGTTGTTTGGAACAACAACTTATTTTATAATCAGTTTTTTTTACTTCCAAAAAATAAGTTATTTTTATGAATATGAAAATTTTTCATCAGTTATTTTTTTTTACTTCTGAAATTGATTTACTATATAAAAGCTAATTTTTTGTTGTATTCAAATGAAATTAATATTTCAAAATCGTTCTTCATCAAATTTACTCAAATAAAAATTCATTTTGATTATAATCGACTATAATAATAAATTATAATCGATTATTGAAGTAATCTAATTTTCACAACGTTCTTAATCAATGTGTGAATAATTGTCAAAGAGAATGAATTTAAGCATAAATTTAATATGTGAAATGCACTCCTCCCCCTCTCAAGGGAAAAAGAAGACTTAAATATGTTTTTAATTCTTATAAAAAATAAACAAGTTTTTATTTTGGTTCCATTATTTTTTTTTCTGTTTTTCATTCTTTTAATATTTTTAAACATTGTTTTTAGTCCTTGTAAAATATTTTTCCTTGACTTTCATCTCTCTAAAATTTAAAGTTATTTTTTTTGTCTCAATGACCATTTTATGTTATATATATAACAGTTATTTTAAGGACTTATACAAAAATTTAGAAGTATCACATACAATTATGAGTACCACTTGGAATGGTCACATAAATACATGAATAGTTAAAAAGGGTCACGTAGTAATAGGAACTTAACAATAGTTTCTATTTTTAGAGGAATAAAAAATGGAAAATATTTATAGATACCTAAATCAAAAGATACTCATTTTACGGTGACTAAAAACATATTTAAATCAAAATAATATTAGAACATAACCGAAAATTGGTGGTTAGTTCAAACTCATTAGAGTTTATCCAACAATGGAAGTCAATGACCCCAAATATATGGCACAGATGAACCATTGAACCCAGAAAATTTGGGTGACCAAGGACAATACTTGCACATAAGTAAATATTTGTAAATCAATCACATTCACATATAAAAGATACAATTCAACATAACAAGCCAAATTCATTATCAGTCATATATTACTTACCATTAAGAAAACCTCTATGTTGGTTATATTATGCAGTAAGTGAAGGTAAATTCTTATGGAATATATCAAAATTAAAAAAATAAAATAAACTATGAAAACCCCCCACCAGCAATGGTAGAAGGGGGTGACATGCCCTTTCGAGCTACAATGTAGGGGCCTTATGGTTGTGGAATTGTGGAGGAAAGTGACTCATGTCATATCATTTATTTTATCCTTTTGTTCATGTTATGAACTTGTGATGTGAAGTTTGGTTGTATTTTTGCCAAAAAAGTGACATGATACACCATTATTTGTTATTAAGAGTTTTCCATATCATTAATAAATGATATGGAACTTGTGTAGCTTGATTTTGAGGGTTTTTTTTTTATTTATTTAATTTTCTATTTAGAACTACTGATATTTTCACTAAACTCGAGTGAAGTGCAGTGTTTGTTGACTGTGCATATGAACTTGGCCTCTCATGTTTTCATACAAACTAATATGGTGAAATTCCTGTAATAAAACAGAGGACCCGCAAGAAGCTAACTGAGAAAATAGCTCAGCTGAATTCTGCCATAGATGGTGTTTCTCCACAGTTGCGGCCAGATGCAGAACCAAGTGAATCTGCAGTGGACAAGGAGGACATTGAAGTTTCCGTATAATTAATCATTTCACGATACTTGAGCACAAATTATCATCTCTTTTTCCTAGTCAAGAAAATATGAACTTCGGTTATTGGATTTAAGTTTATCACATTTAACTATTTCCTTTTATAATGGTTCATTGTATACGTACAACATATAATATATCTGGTGAGAACTCTTGGCTATTGTAAGAAACAAAAGTAAGTTAATGACCACATAAATCATGATCACTTTAACAAGTTGTGTATATTTATCATCCGTGTATGATTGTTATATTCCCATTTCTTACAATAAATAAGTGGTTCACTTTTTCTTCTCCTAGTATAGTGACAGCCCCAATCAGCCACTGGTCTTGGGGTGAAAATGAAATTGGAATAGAAAAATAAAAGGTGTTGTCATTTACTTCAAGTTGATGACAACAAATTAATTTTGCATTATTGAATATATGAATATCTATTTGTCACAAGTTGGTTTCAAAAAACGTAGATTAGACGGGGCTTGAAATTTACCTCAATGTACAGTTCCAGAACAAGTCTTCGTTTAGAAGAGTTTGTGATCATGATCTTATATTATAAGCAATATTTGGGAGCAGATACATGTTAACTTTTTTTATTATTCAAATGCAATCTCATTTATTTAAAATTTTCTGCATGTTGGCCACTAGTTGTTGTAAATAGAGATGACAACAACTCCAAGCGTGTGGTTCAGCGGTAGGGGTTGATCCACGCTTAAGCAAGGTCAGAGGTTCGAATCCTGCCTTGTGTATGCAGCCGCGTTAAATCTTGGGGCCAGCTATCCCATCCTTTGAGGTGCCTCTAACGTAGCGAGGAGATTAGAGTGCTAAACTATGCATTGGTACAAAAAAATTCAATTATAAATTTTATTAATTGATTAAAATATTTCTCAAAGACGCACAAACATAATATAATCTATTAAATTATATTAGTAAATAATGATGCAATTGTTTAAGATATTTATCCATTGTTTTATGCATTGATGACGATTTAAGTGGGATAAGTTTCTAATTTAAATTTTATTATAATTTATTTTCTCATATTTCTTTGGAATGAAACACTCTAATACCACTTTATTCTCATCTATTTATTATCTATTTTTTTCTTTAATTATTTCTTTTCTCACAATCAAACAACTGCTGAGTAGCGAGTTAAAAACAAATACCATATTTATTGACTCTAGAAGTCAATTTGATTTTTTTGACACATTTATATCTTTTATCCCATTTTTAATCGATAGAAATTATAATAATGACACCAATGTTTGGATCTAAAACCTTTCTTTTTAATTATTAATTTACAATACACTAAAACATTAAATAGTTTTCTCTCATTATACCTTTAATCATTATTATTGAGTGAGAAGTTAAAAAAGTATAGATTATTGTTATCAGATTCGACTTAGACTTATCGGTCCAATCAGTTGACTCAAAAAATGATCATTTAACTATCCGAGCTGATTAATAGGTTGAGGATGCTTTCAACCAGGTACAATTTGATCTGACTTGGCGGGTTTGGCCTAAAATTGGTGACTTAGCAAGTTTGGCTGACCTAGTTGAGTCAATGCATTTTTTTTATCTTAGCAATAAGACATTCATGACTCTCCTCTGTTTGTCCGTCCCCTTTTTTCGTTGCTCTCCTTCGTTGGACACTTGTCGTCTCTACTCTCTCCCAGTCATGCACTCAGACAACAGTGGTGCAACTATGTTGGTGCGGTGCATTCATCATCTCCTCATTGTACAACAACACCACCTTTCACGTTTATCATCATTCATCATTTGTCCTTGACAAATAATGACACATTCATCATCTGCTCATCGCACAACAATGTAACCATAATTTAGTGCATGAGTCGTTAATTATATTTTTATTTTATTTTATTTTGTCTGTTGCTTTCTGGTTGGACTGAGTGGAAGTTGCTTTGTTACTACTTGCTTGTGCATGTGTTTTTATTTTTATTTTTTAATTTTGTTTATTATGTTATTCAATTGCTTTGATTCTGATTTGATGAAAGTGTCTATAATTTTAAAAATTTTAATGTCTATATTCATGGAAACTTTATAATATGTTTTTACTTGTTTATAATGTATATTTTGAAGTATAAATTTTACATATTGTCAATTATTTATATTCTTTTAATATAGACTGGATCACGCGGATCAATTAGTGACTCAGTGACTCGATCTCTCATCTAGTGATTTGATATCTCGACTAAGTTGTCAATCAGGTTGAATCTGATAACATTGGTATAGATGAATAGTCTATCCATTTTATTTTGTTAGATATTTTAGTAATTTTTTATTTTGATTTTCATTTTACAACATCAATTAAACATTAAATGTAATTTTTTATAGTATATTCTTAATTGTTTATTGTGAAGGGGAAATGATTTAAAAGGAGGTTAAATAAGGTCCAATCTAATAAATATAAAAATTAAAGGGTATATTAGAAAAATGTATAACATTATTTATGAAATCTAAATATTAGTTGCATTTCATAATATTTGTAAAAACTTTAAATGTCAAATAAAATAAAATAATATTTAATATTAGAAATTTGCATATTTGTTTAAGAAATCTAAAACATTAATTACATTTTTTAATTCATATGTCAAAATATTAAATGTCTAATAAAATGATACATAAAAAAAGCACTTAATAATGATAAATGAAAATAAATAAATAGTGTAAATAAGAGTTAGAGACGTTGACGCTAATCATCTCTTTTGCATATAAGAAGAAAAGTTTGCCACGATTTTAGGTTTAATTTCCAAGTCAGCAATTGTTAGTTTAGTTGCCCATCGTCACCAACAGCCAATGACAAACACAACACTTCCATTTGTTTGGGAACAATTCTTTTAACGTTGTGCATCTGTCACTAATATATACATAAATAAAAGTATACATCACAAAAATTGAAGAAGTTGAGTTTGGGTTTTCTTTCCTAATTCATTTGATTTCAGTAAACATTGATGGCTGTTGACATTGCTTCATCATTTTATTATTCCCTCCGATTATCATTGTTACATGATGTATCCAAATTATACATGTTGTATGGACTAATTTAATACATTTATTTTCTCATGTAATTATTTTTTTTAGTTACTATAATTTTATTTACTTTATTTTTTGGTTTCTATAATTTAAATGAGATATTTTTTAATTGTTATTATTATAAAATATTCACCAGCTTTTTGTTTATTTTTTGTAAAAAAATATGATTGATTACTTTTTAATAGAATATTTTTTCAACTCTCTTTTTTTTTCTCTCTCAACATAATCTTAAATTTAAAATTTTACTTAAAGAAATCGAGTCCACTATTACTTTATTTAATACAAACCACTTGATTTAGTGTATATTTAATCTCTTTATTAGTTATATTCATCGCATATCTTTTACAATGTTTATTATTTAATGATTCTTAAAATATACTAAAATAAAAACTGAACAACAGAAGCAATGATTGAATTTTACCACTTACAATTAATAAAAAGAAATCAATTGGTCAATGAAATATGAAAAAAAAAATAGATTAACAACTTTCTTTTCTCCTCAAAATCAATTCAATGTATCCACTATTCCATATTAGAAGTTTTAACAACAGAAGTTATTTATATATCTATGGCACCAATTTTTACTACTCAATTGACTTTTAATAATTGATATGCTTCCCTAATTTAGTTATAAGGACAAAGTACTCAGATCCTACAGGTGTCGTGTTCAGTGATTATCACCTACAGTTGGCTTTTCCAGTTGTATTTCTTAAATAGCTAGCTACCCTCCCATTTGTGCAAGTGTATGTACAATCACCACTTTTTTTAACATCAAAATTTCTATAACGTTCTAAACAATTAACATCACAAGTAGCCAAATGCAATATATATAACATTAGCTGTCCAAACCATACCTATATCCTCTTCATTATGATTTGTCACAGAACAATGTTAATTACTTAAAGGAATTTCTTTCATTTTCATTCAAGCAATTACAACAAAAATTATACAATATTAGCCATGTGTTTATCTCTCTCAATCACTTCATTTATTATAAAGAAACATAGACATAAAATTAATGTTATACAATTTTTGTTGTAGCATAAATATTAACTTTTAATAATTTATGTTACTTGCTATGTTGAAAAAACACGATTTCAAATATTCTTTCCAGAAATAAATAAATCTGTACATAGATATGAAATCTAAACTACCATAAGCGCAGATAACGTATACATAGAAATTAACAGCCATGTACATGAATAGATCATATTATTTATACATGTCCAAAACCAATGGAACATACATAGCATCAATTTTAATTTGCTTATTGACTCGTTTGGCTTTGGTCAAACTTAGACGACAGAGAAAACAACCTCTCTCTATTTTCCTTTATATATATGTTTATATATTCAATCAAACCTCCAAGGCGAAGTGTATATTCCCTCCTTCGAAATTAAAGTACTGCTTCTGCTGAAGATTACTTTTGCTCGAACTTGGAGCCTCTCATTCCCAGGTTTCATACTTCTTCAACATATATACATGCATCAGCATATAATATATATATATATATCTCATCATCATTCATTTTATAGTGTAGCTTGTTATTCAGAAAGTATCATTTTCATGTATTATAAGTGAGCAATCAATTTCTGTGTGAAAATCTAATCGATATATAATTGCTGTTCCAAAGGTAACTCTACGTTTGATTTTTATAATCATATACAAAAGATAATTCATTTTCACGGTAATTTTGTGGATGCAAAAGTGGAACAATTGATTAAGTTTTATATCTTCTCATATGAATTTGCACTTATAATAGAGTAGATGATTCGTAATTCTACTTAAAATCCTAAAAAAAATGTTAGAGATTGGTTTGATTTTGTATGAGTGTCTTAGTTTAATTTAAATTTTTTTAAAAAAAATTCAGGACACTAGCTGACCCACCTAGAATGTATCTGGGCTTGTGTGTTTGTGTATGTCAATGTCAATGCATACAAAAGTATGTGTTTATATATATCTGTTAAATAATGCTTTAGTATTTTGCCTAAGGTGTTGTGTTATTTGAAGATGGTGAAGGTAGAGTTTTCTTGGTGGAGTGGTTGGAAATGGGGGGAACTTATAGCTTTTTTTTAGTAAAGAAAGGAAATAAAAGAGATACATATAAAATTTTAAAAGGAGAGAAAATATTTCAGAATTATACTTATATATTTATTTTTCTTCTATTACTTTATTTTCTGCATTTTCCTTTCTTATCTCATCACTTATGGCATATTAGCCATTATCTCTTTCTTTCTTTTTATTTTTCCTCGTATACCTCTCTTTCAACCACCTATATTCTAGGATATGACAATGGAAAATTTAAAATGCATTTGACTACCTTCGTTTTTGACGCACTAGTGGCGAGGTAATTTATAAAAAAAAAAAACGAGTAAGAAAAATTAAAACTCAAATCGAGATTTTTTTTATAAAAAAAAGACAAATTAACTCGGCTAATCTAAAAAAAAAAATATTACATGCATTTAATTTTAAATAAACCATATACTAAATTATTAATTACATTCTAATTTAAATTATAATATAAAATTAATAAAAGACATCAATCATAAAAATAAGAAGTTTAAAAATTAATTCATTATTCAAATATTATTATAATTAATCCTTTGATTTTATTATAAGAAAATTGTCATATAGTGACACAATACATATCATTAAAAATTACTTTTACACACACAATAATTATAATATATGTTGGTATATTGTTAAAAAGTATAGGTATAGACTATAATGTCACATAAAATATGTTGTTAAATTTCATTCGAAATCAAAACTAAAATTGTATGTAATTATATGTCAAATAGATATATATACCTACATATATTGTACTTATAGTAATATTTTTTGTATATCACTACATGTAATTTTTTTTTTGTAGTGTTTATAATTTTAATAATTATAAAAAAATCACTTGTGTGAATGGTGTGAGATAGGTTCGGGAACTCACCCTCTCAAACTTTGATTCCACTTAAAAGCAATTTTTTTTCCATGTATAACTGGGTTTGAAGTTGGACAAATACCTTCAACTTCATAATTGTCTTATAAACAACTTATTTGAAGTATAAATTTTCATGAAGGTGTTTAAGATGGTTTATACAAATATCTTTTAACTGGTTTATATATAAGCATTTTTAACTTATTTTCATATGTTCTTCTAAATAAATTATAGGAGTAACTCATGCGAAGTTTGTAAATAGACTCACATTCAAATATGACAAGGTCAAATAAGTATATCTATTTTTTTCTAATTTTTTTTTTGGTTTCTTAATCCAAATTAACATAAAATATTAACTTTTACACAAAGCAATTATAATTATTTGTTTTTAGTAATTTTTTTTAGCATTTTCTTATTTTCACTAAAATATAATTAAATTAAACTTTATATTTTCATGTGTAGCTAGTAATTTATTTTATGCCTATTAATATATATTTTTATATCTTTCATTCTACAATAGCGTGTAGTAGTTTGAAAAAATAGAAAATAAAACATAAATTAGAATATATTGATAATAATAATCTTAGCTGTTTTTGGGACGTTGATTTATGAATGACATAATATGTTCTTACTTCTTAGACGTTGATCTATGCATGACATAATATGGGAGTTTGTTGTTGTATAAGACAAACACCGCGTGATCAACCAAATCATAATCGAATATTGCATTTGACGAGTTAACGTTTGTACAACTGTACATGATATTTTAATTTCAATAATAAATTACTTTCACCAACTGGGTCAGACTATAAATTTATAATTAAGTATAATAATTATCAATACTTTATATTTATTAAAATATTACTCAAAATTAATTAATTTATTTTTGATAAATAATTTAATTTTCAATGAAATATAGCTATATATTTGAAATTAATATTTTAATTACTTACATAAGTGAAAACGATGTGGACAATATATACACAGCACAAAACTCCAAATAATTCATGTCTGAATTAATATTCTTCAAATCAAAATAAAAATGATACTTGATGAAAAAGGAAAGGAGGTTGTTGTCAATAAGAATACAACAATACTATAGCAGCCAAAGAAAGTCTTGGGAATTTACGAAACCAAAATTGTTTTGCAGCTACGTGAACATTGAGAACTGCTAAAATACAAATTAAATGTTCGTTCAAACATGTTTCGTCATTTTCTGAGCCACTTGTGTATATAATGCTAACGTACGTACATTGATCAAGGATTTGTTAACTCAAGAACCGTAAGAAAGAAAAAAAAAAAAAACTATGGTTGTTTCTAACTCATTGGATTTTTTTAGATGTATTTTGCACCACATGTTTTTTTGGTCGAGATTAACTTCATAATCCAACTAATTATCACATCTTTCACGTCAATCAGGTATTAATTGGTGTATTAATATAATATAGCACAATGTGTTATTGTTTTTATTTTAACTTAAGGCCCAACTTGTGTCCCTAGATATTATTGACAATACATATTATTTTCGATTATTATACCAATTGATACTAAAATCAGTTAACAGATAAAATTAATGTCTCATAAAGTTATCTAGAAATAAATTTCTGAGCCATCAATCATTCAATTTGAAAATAATTTTAACAAAAGGACACAAACAGGTGAGGGGGGTTGAACGTAAAGCATGCCATGGAGTATACCTTTCGACCAGGGGGAGGTGGGATCTGTGATTATTTTTCTTATTGACTATTTCTATCCTATATATACAAAACAATCTTTTATTAAATAAGGTAAAACTATTATAAACAATAAATTTATGACTTCAAAGAATATTAGTATTTAACGCAATTGCATGTTTAGACGCAAACTCGTAACACTGGTCTGGTTAAAATAACCTTAACAAATTTACACAAGATGATCTGCGTTGTGTTTCACTGTGTTCGGTCGTGAATTCTTGATCAATATAATGCAGGAGAAAACTGCAGTTTTTGTTGCAGATAAACGTATACTTAAGTTTAGTATATTTAATAAAATTATCAAAGTAATGTATTTTATACAATGAATTTTCGAATTGTTGTCTCCACAAATATAAAATGCAATTTACTACTTCTTTATGTGGATGTTTAAGAATTAAAAATAATGATTCAAGTTGGAGAAGGATACACGTCTTTGTTATCATGACTAGATTCATTTGATTTTTGAGATCTTGTTGGAACTAAGAATGAAAGCTCCATGCTATCCTTGTGTATGGGTAATTTTGTAAATTTAAATTAATCTAAATTAATGTAATGAGTTTATATTAGATTTTTTTAATATTTGGATCGGATTCAAATTAATTTGATCAAAATTTGATACTGCATAAATTGAATTAACGAGTTTTAAATTTTGACTCTTAACTCAATTCAACTTAGTTATAACAACAACAATAATAATAATAATTTGATATTTATATGATCACTTGCTTAAACAATATTCTTTATCATTCTTACATAATAATAAATTTTATGATTTTAGATTACAACATTATATAATATAATATTTATTTTAAATTTTATTTTGAATTAATATTGATTATTTGAATTGATAATAATGTAGCAAATTAATAAATTTATTTTAAAATTAAATTTTTATCAATATTTTAAAAATAAGAGTACTAAAACACACAATATCAAATATAATTATATATAAAAATATACAAATATTCGTGTCATATACAATTATTTATTTATATTAGAAACATGCAATGATGAGGTTATTTTAAAGCGACGTGAGATACCGCAAGATTTGAATTGTCTTTTTTAAGTTTGTATGCTTGGAGGTAAGTTAGAGAAAAATAAACCAATTTTTTACTGCTTGACTAACTTAATATTTACAAATATTATTATAATTATTAAAAATGATATAAGACGCAATAAAAAAAAGGAGTTCACTATATGGGTGAAATTGGTTCGAGTTTAAATGAAAATCTATCGTAAAAATATTATGAGATTTTTTTGAGTTGACACAGATAGTAAGTTTCAACTTGAAGTCTTTACGATGCAAATTTGAAATCACTTACCATAAAATCTTACTTTAACTGACTATTAAAAGGACAGTAGGAAGTGCAGGTAAGCAATGACATTACCACATGAGTAACAGAAGCACGTTGTGCTTTCAATGCGCTCTAGTCATTGTTTCACTTTTCACGAAAAACAGACAAATAGATCATCTTAAATAAATATGTTGAATTCGACACAGGGTGATTGGTCCAACTTACTCTGCACTACGTCCCCACTTCACCACACTAGTTAATTATTGGTTACTGAAATAGTACATATGGTACAACAATTTGATCTCAGATCATCTCCGGTGGGGTGGGCTTGCTTATAAGCAATGTTCTGTGCCATATCATTGTCATATTAGTTCTGGTCTATTTTAAATTTTAGCAAAGTTACTTGTAAAAGTAAGAATATTTATAATGAGAATTGTTTATAAGTAACCCCATGTGTCACATTACTGCCACATCAGCTCTAGCCCACTTTATAGGTTGCTTAAATTTGACTTTGCTAAAATTTAAACAACCCATAAAATGGACCAGAACTAATGTGACAATGATGTGACACAGAAAATTGCTTACCGGAGATGCTCTTACAAGCTGTGAAGATATTCGGTCTTTTGATATAAATATTTTTTTTTACACAATTCATGCAATGCCAATCAAAGATTAATATATAATTTCTGCTGGTAAGTATTATTTTAACACTGAAATAATCAACAACCAGACTTTCACATTGGTTTTGTTAGGCTTAGTTAGTAATTTTTTTAGGCTATCACCTATCTTATTCTGCTGCTGGACTCTTATGATTCATCTCTGTTCTTTCCTGTAAACTCATCCTATATATATAGGAAAAAAATAAAATCAGAGAGAGAAGTGATACTAAGCGGCAAAGAGAAGTAGATAAGCACAAGAAAAGCAAAGGAAGAAGATGGGTTTTCTGGAACTAATGGAGGTGGCGTCTATGCCAGTTATTCAAGTCCTACTTATCAGTGCATTGGGTGCACTCATGGCAACTGAATATTTCAGCAATCTTCTTTCACCAGACACTCGCAAAGCCTTGAACAAGGTAAGAACCATATTGATGGATGCTAATATTCAATGAATATATATTTCAATAGAGGTTAGAGAACAAATGCAGCACGAACTCTGCATGATGATGATTCTAATTGAACAATAATAAACTTTTTATTGTTTTTGTTTACCTGTTTTGCAGATTGTGTTCCTTGTATTCACTCCTTCGCTCGTCTTCTCCAGCTTCGCCAAGAGTGTTTCACTTGAAGACATGATATCATGGTACGCGTGGATTTGCTTTCCACTCTCAAAAATTTTGCATCATTTTTGTGTCATTTTTAGAAAGAAAAAAAAACTAATTAGTACGATTCTTGCAATAGTTCTAATCTAACTCGTGTCGTATAAGTACAGACAAAACACTAATTAATTAGTACTTTTGATTTTCGTTAAAGTTTTATTTTTTAATCATCGATCAACATGCCGATTTTGTATTTGACTATTTGCTACGTGCAAAAAGGCTTCTTAGAACATCTTCTTATGGGTTTTTAAGTTCAAAGTGTAAGAATCCTTCTTGCATAAAAGTCTGGTTTTTAATAGTAATTAAAAGATAACTTGCGAAACCGAAATCTATTTTTAAGAAATATAAAAATTTGAAATAAATTTTACATTGCCTGGAATATTGAAACTGGAACACTTTATTTGTTTTCCTAAGCATCAGAGCTATTGCACAAAATTAGATCCCAATGAACCAATAATTTGTTTTGAACCTATGTATGGCCATTCTTGCTTGATCGTTAAAGTGGGTTGCTACATGTCTAAAATAAAGCTCGTTAAAAGAAAAGCCTTGAATGATTTTAGATTTTTGCATAAATTTCGACATGGAAGCTGAGCTAATAATACCTGTGGTTCAATTCACCTGGCTCTGGATGTCTTCCAGAGCATCAATTATTGGAACAAAGTCACTTGAAATTGTTTCAATTAAAATGTGAGACGTGAATGAAAAAGTTAACTATCTGTGGAGTGAGAGTGATAGTTTTTAAACCAATGTCACTTTAATTAGGGACAGGGAGGGAGGTAAGCAATCTCACTCATTGGGACAAGAGTACAGAGCCATAAGCTTCACTAATTATAGCACAAACTTTAATTATTGCTAACTTTGTCACTGGGATTTCCCTGATTAAAAAAGTAAACAATCTTAATCTCATGATTGATATTCATATACTCGAATGCTTTGTCGTGCATGAACAAGTAATATTAATAATTGATTTTCTCATCAACATGAATAAGTATGAGGTTTATACTTTAGGGTTTATTTTATCATTGATAATGAGGATGGATTATTTATGCATATTTAATGAAAGTAGAGAGTATAAGTAGGATGTTCATTTAATTTGTATTAATTGGTTCTTGTAAACCATAACGTGTTGATCCATCTTACATCTATGCAGGTGGTTTATGCCCGTTAACGTTGGACTTACCTTCTTAATTGGAGGGATTATAGGATGGATACTTGTAAAATTACTGAAGCCTAATTTGAAAGTGGAAGGTCTTATTATTGCTGCATGTTCATCAGGTATCATAGCATAAAGTTACAGTATGCTCAGCAAAAATTAAATTTGAAGGAATGGAGAATCTGAAGTAGGAAAATTGACGATGTATTTAAACATTGACGCATGCCTTAATACATTATGTCACCAATCACCATCCAAACTTCCAAATTTCAACGTCTTAATTATATTAGAAAACCTTAATCTAAAATGATGTTATTTCATGAACGCTTCTTTGATCAGGAAATATGGGTAACCTTCCTATTGTAATCATCCCTGCTATCTGTGATGAGAAGGGAGGACCATTTGGTGCACGTGATGTTTGCCGCAATAATGCACTCTCTTATGCATCTTTCTCTATGGCTGTAAGACATCCTATTTACATTATTTAAGATATTTGCTTAGAGAATATTAATTGTGAATAGTTACTCATTAACTCACTTTAATTGTTTTGGTAATTGTAGCTTGGTGGCGTCTTCATCTGGACCTACACTTTCCAAGTGATAAGAAGCAGATCTATGAAATTTAAGGCAGTTGAGGCTGCTAAGATCTTAAAGGTTCCCAACAGAGATCTTGATGCTAATGAAGAAACTCACCTTCTCAAGGATAAAGACAGTGAAAACACAATAGAAGAGCCACCATCAACTTATATTGGTGACACTGAAAACCAAATTGTAAGAGTAAGACATTAATAAACCATGCACTACAGGATGGTTATACTTGTCTCAGTGGGAAGGTTTTGAAAATCAAAATTAGTTTACATTTACTTCGGTACTAGTTTAATGAAGTGCAGCTCATACACCCTGACAAAATTAACTATATGAAAGTGATTATCCACTCAGTTAACCAAGTTACAAAATAACAATAACAAGTATAATCCTATCCCATTGTGTGTATTCTCATTTTTCACCTGATCAAAGAATATGCATATTCAACTAGTTACTAAAAGGGATGTGGATCTGAATTTTCAGATTGTAGACCATGATCAGTTCAATGCACCGAATAAGGGGACAGGATCTTTTTGGCATAGAATGGTGGAAGTTGTGAGCCATCTTGTGGCAGAACTAGTGTCACCACCAGTAATTGCAACAGTGAGTTACTTTTCTTTTCTTTTTTTTTTGCTTTGTTATATTTGTTTCTTGGATTTTAGTTTCTAGTTCCAACTACTTCAATACAATTAGACATTCACCTACTTCCATATTCCATGGTCAGTTTTTTGGTTTCCTCTTTGGTGCGGTTGGATGGTTAAGGAACATAATAGTCGGAGACAATGCTCCACTGCATGTCATCCAGGACACTCTTCAATTACTTGGGTATGTGACTTTGCTCACAAAATCAAATAGTTCTCCAGTGTCTATTTCTTTTACAACTACATAGTTATCTGATTGAACTCATTTCTTTTACAGGAATGGTACCATTCCTTGCATCACCCTTTTGCTTGGTGGTAACCTCACTCAAGGTATTAAAAAAAAAAAAAAAAAACTAGCTGTTATAGATATCTTAGCATAATTTTTACCAAAAAAAATGGCTTAGCTAACTTTGTCTTGAAATTGCAGGCTTGAAATCATCAAGTGTCAAACCATTGACCCTCATCAGCATCATTATTGCTCGACTTTTCGTACTACCTGTTATTGGATTCTTTATTGTAAGAGAAGCTGCAAAGTTGGGCTTACTCCCTGTTGATCCTTTATTTCAGTATGTCCTAGTGATGCAGTATGCCATGCCACCGGCTATGAATATTAGTAAGTGATGGATACCATTCTATGTATCACTTTAGAGTGTATTTGGATAAACTTATTTAGAAGGAAAATCAAAATAAATTTCTCTATAAGCAAAAACTAGTTTATATAAGAATTAAAATTAAGATTTTGGAGAAGCTAATAAAAGAGAATTTCTACATATTAGCTTATGTATAAATTAATTTTAATTTATAGAAAACCTTATTTCATTTTCATTCTTACTTTTTTTCTCCTACGAGTACTTTTGGATAAGTTTACCCAAACAGACATTTAATTGAAGTACTTTTCCTTGATCTTTCATTAGCCATATAATCCTTATTGTCAAAATTCAATGATATTGTTATGCAGGTACCATGGCTCAGCTGTTTGATGTAGGAAATGAAGAGTGTTCAGTTATCCTCTTGTGGACATATAGTGCTGCAGCCATAGCACTCACTACCTGGTCAACATTCCTCTTGTGGGCATTGTCTTAAGGCGTCTTCAGTTTCTGATTTCTCTGCCTTTGAAAAACTCTTCACAACATCAAACTCTTCTATACAGAACCACTTATAATCGCACACAGCAGTTTTCTTTCACCCCTTTTGTTCGAGTCAATGTAATGTCACAAAAAGCAAGAAGAATGGCTTGGTTGAGATTTTGAGTGAAATTTTGACAATGCTTACTCTCATATCAACACATGCCACACAAAAAAAAAAAGTTAGGAAACTCGAGTGATTTGACTTTCAAGACCCCTACACAGGACACTACCATTTAAAATTAAGTATCTAAGTAGCAACGTATACATATTTTTCCTTCAGTATACTACCCATTTGTTCCTCTTCGGCCACCTTTTAAGGGGACAAGTCATATTACTTGACACTGAACAAAGTTGGTGTTTTTCATGTAGTTCTCCAATTATCGTCATTTTTTCCCCTTTTGATTCTTTGTATTTTTGTTCCATTTTAGTTCAATGCTTCCCGGTTGTATTTCAGAGACAAGTCTTGCCGAATATATATATATATATATCCATCTTTTTTAAATTTTTATACATATCGAAAGTTTTTTAACTTTAAAGTCAATGGAATTAAAAGTTTCCATTATTAAGGAGATATTTAGAAAGAATAACAAAAGTACTTTGAAATAAAATTATAAAAATAGTTTGACTTCTATTAGTTTTTAAAATTTACTTTAAAATTTTTCTTGATGTAGTTAATTAAAATAAGGGGAAAACGTATCTATCTTTAAAAAAGAAAAAAGAAAAATAAAATAATATATATATATATATATATATATATATATTACTCTTATAATTATTTACATAAAATTTTATTTCTCTTCCG